TGAGGGAGAGGGGGGATCAACGGGGTAGGGCTAGGGGGCAACGGGGTTAGTAGAGGGGAGGGGGCAATGGGATCAAGGGGGACTGGGTAAGGGGGAAGGGGCGACACTCTAAGGGAAGTAAGGGGGAGGGAACAAGGAGATGCAAGTATAAAGGCGATAGCGATGGCGATGAGGTGTGGTGAAGGAGGAGGAAGATGATGAATAATTGAGGGGGGTGAGGACGAGTTTTTTATTTTTTAAAAAATTTTGAATTATTTTTAATAGTGGGTAACACATCACCGATATTGAAAGTTGGAATTTGAACAGCGGGTAACGTGTCACTCGACTGTTGAATATAAAAAAATTTATTTTTTTAATTATAGTTGTTCGACAGTAGGTGGCCTCTACCTGCAGTTGAACAAACACTTTCAACAATGGGTAGAGGCCACTCATTATTAAAAGTGTCATTTTTTATTTTTTTTCAAATGCATCTTTCAATAGTGGGTGGAGGCCACCTACTATTGAAAGAGCAATTTTTTTATTTTTTTAATTAATATTTTTAACAGTGTGTGCAAAAACACTAGGTGGTTTGCACCCACTATTGAAAGTTCTATTTTCAACGGCGAACAGCAGCACCCACTGTTGAAAGTTGAATATTTTTATTTTTTTAAATTCATCTTTTCAACAGTGGGTATATCGTGCCCGTTGTTGAAAGTAGAGTTTCAACAATAGGTTGCCTTCAGCCACTGTTAAAATTTGTTTAAAGTTATAAAAAATACCACCGCCTCTACTTTCAATAGTGGATGTGTGTTACTCGATGTTAAAAGTGTTCAATAAAATTTAAATTTTGCACTAGTGTATGAACTTGTTGTTTTAGTTATGATAGTTGGTAATCATGTTTCCACTCGTAATCAAAATTGTATATGTTAGATCCATGTAATTGTATCTTTAATCATGTTTATATTATTCTGTATTTCACTTGAAGTGGGCTCAGGGCAACATGAAAATTAATTTGAAATTGACAGGTTGAAAAATGCATGGGAAAAGCTTATGACAACTTGAAATTGACTTGTTAAATGCTTTGCTTAACTTGTAATTTTCATAACTTTTACTTGTTAATATGCATTAGGGAATCTGATCATGCATAAGGGGACTTGTCACAACATAAATTTTACTTGTTAAAACCCTTGTTCATCTTGTCATATTAGTAAGTTTAACTTGTCTATTTGAAAGAGTCAGCCAGCTACACCTTATCAGCAAGCTAAGGTTTTTGATATAGAAGGCAACTTGATATAAACTTAATCCCATGTTCATCCCTTCTTTTTTGTTGAGACTTGCTATCTAAAACATGAGTGAGGATTTCAGCAGCTTTAATATACTATTTGGATAACCTGCCAGAAATGTAGAAGTTATTTTAATTGACCTAGTGGATGAGTTGTATGGGATTTGCTTGATGAAGACGAGGGAGTTTGCTTCAATTGATGATGGGAGGGGTGACTTGGGAAGTTCATCAGGGATGTGCGAAGTTAGGTCTAATCAAGTAGGGGTAGATCTTATGCAGAAACACAATTTTTATATCTTTTGAAATTAAGGGTAGTTAGATTTTGTTTTTTCAAAATTATTTTTAATACAATCAAGAAATCCTGCAGATTAATTTCAAAGTAGGTTAAGGATCAAAATGTTCTGAAGTGTATATAAAAGGTCATAAATAACTTTAAGAGCTCGTTTGAATTTCAATTGAATATACTCCCTTCATTAAAAAATATAAGGCATTTTTAACCGAATCTCACCCTCAATAAAGTAGTTACCTACTTTCAAACTAATCATATTTTTTCATATTTATTCCTATTAAACACCGTATAATAAATATAAAATTACTATCAATAGGGACACTTTTGAAAAAAAAAGCAATAATCACACCTCAAAAGACTATAAATGTCTTACATTTTTAACATCCAACTCTTCAAAAAATGCCTTACATTTATAAATGGAGGGAGTATTTGATTATAAAAATAATTGATTAAATGATTAATTTTAATCATAATTAATTATGTTATAATACAATCTGTTTAAATACTATTTTTTTAAAATTAATTTTAATAGAATTGATTATGTTTAGATAATTTATTCAAAATTAATTTTAACTATATAAATTACTATAAAGGACATTACTTTTTAAAATTAAATTATTAATATATTTGTGTCTAATATTATTAGATTTGTCAAATTTTATTTAAGAAGTAAAATATGTTATTTAAATTACATATCTAATTAATTATAAAAATTAAATTATATTAATATTAATAATTTAATTTACGTAAATAAATAACGTAGTATATATTAGTTCAAATAAATTTAATAAAAAAGAAAGATTTAGTTCTTAAATACCAAATCTAAATTTTGTAATAACCAATGAAGATAATGATATACAAATTGATCTCTAATGACACTATGGATATAAGTCATATTTGATGAATATGATAAGCACTGTCTTAAAATTTTGACAACATAAAAAATATAACAATGTAACAAATGACGCAAAATCTTTCTCTTTGAATCTTGCAACAATCTTTGTAATAATCCTAAATTTTAAATTAAATTAAGTAATTTTTTTCTATCACTTAATATTTTATTTGAATTAGTTTTATAATAAGTGCTAAGTGAAAAATAGTAGTTGACAAAAATTTATGCTAGCAATATTTTTAAAGATTTAAAGTTTAAATTTTATTAAGAAAAAAAGAGAAAAGAAAAGAGTTTGATTTTATGATTATTAAAATTTATGCCTTATAATTTTTTCTTAAACCTTTCTTTATAATTTTGCCCTATTAATGCCTTTTGATTAGTTTTTTTCACATAAGCTCATATTCCTAACTTTTGAAAAAAAATCAAATTTAACCAAAAAATCGATTAAATGGTTTTTCAAGCGTTTGGATACCAACTTAAAAAATCAATTTTTTGAGTAAAAAAATCGATTATACACGTATCAAAACAGACACCAATTAAGAGTCTTTTTATGTCCTTCAACCTTAAAAGATTCCTCCCCGTTTACCCTACCATTATCTTCTCCATTCCTTGGAGTTAGTGGAGCTCATAATTTATTTTTTAAATATTTTTTATTCTCTCCCTTCCCCTCTTCAACCCCCCCCCCCGGGGCGCCTCCCTCTCCTTTGTTTTCCGGCCCCTTCCTTCCGTCATTCAGTTCTGCCTAACTTCACCGTTGGGAGTCCACGATGCGTCGTCAACTCTGCTCACAAGGCACCTCATTCATCTCGCCACTGTGCTTTGCTTTCCATGGCATGTCACTCTCATTTCCACCGTGACCATTCATACCCGCCATCACAACCTCCGACATCGCTGTTCGTAGCTCCACATCTTTCGTCGCAAATTCTTGTCCGTTGTCACCCATAGCTACTTCTGCCGTGACCCCACCCTTCATTCACCTTCCTTCCTTCCTTCCTCAAGTTGTTGCTAGATTTGAAAGTTGAGCGGCAACGAGTCTGCAGAGGGAAAGCAAATGTGATTCCAACGAGCAAACCAGAGCCTTCGAGCTATAGTGAGATATATATGAGATTGAGGACGCATGTGAAGCTTGTTGCTGGTGAGTCTTCATTGTCACGATGATGACGGGAAGGAATGAGAGTCTTCATTGTCACTCCTTTACTTTTCTCTTTTTCCTAGTCTCAGCTCTCTCTCTCTTCCATTCACTCTCTCCCATGTCCAGCTGCCTCTTTGTTCAGAATTAATGGTTCCTTATCCTTATCTTGAAGTTGTTCATCACTTATTTGCTTTTACTGGCTCGTCACACGAGCGAGATTGTTAAGTAGAGGAAGAGATTGTCTGACAGGAGGACCGACTGTGGAAGGAGGAGGAGGAGGGAATTGAATGAAGTAGAAGTGAGGACGCAGGGGGTGAACTTGAAGCACTTTGAGAAGAAATTCGAGTGATGATGAGGGTCTGTCATGATGAAGAAGGTTGAAACCAGTTGTAGCGATGAACGATTTTGAAAGAGAGAGAGAGAGAGAGAGAGAGAGGAGAGGGGAAGGAAGGAGGAAGGAGGGGAGAGAGAGGAGGGGATCTCGACCGGAAGGGAGAGAGAAAGTGGAGGAGGGAGAATAATGTTTATACTATAAAAAATATTAAAAATATTGATGAGACCCATTACCTAATATTTTATAATAAAAAATTAAAAATTTTAAATTTGACCCCACTATCAAAAAAAAATAAATGAGGAGAACAGTGAGGTGATAATTTAAATTAAAGAACAAAATGACTTATAATTTTTACATATAATTTAAAAATAAAAATAGCCTTTGATCTTCTTAAAATTTGTCGCTCCTTTTATAAAATTAAATCTCTTCAGAAATTCTTTACACGAAGATTCTCTTTGAAAACATAAATCTGAAGAGGGTGTGTCCATCTGGAAGTTCTCTCCTATTCTTTTTGCCAATCCCTTTCCTTTCTTTTCTTTTTTTTTTAACCATTAGATCATGATTTAAATAATTCAAATCTGATTTTTTTAAAAATTATTATTAAAATTTTAAATTATAAAAAATATATGAAAAATAAATTTTAAAATTTAATATAAATAATTAAATAATATAATAAAAATAAAAAATAAAATATTTTATAAGATATTAAATTTAAATTATTTAAATTATAATTTAGTGGTTAAAAATTGGAAAGAGAAACGGAAATGGATGAGAAGAGAAGACGATTCTCCCGTGTCCATCAAAGCACGCAGTCAAATGCGTCCGTTTCATTGAAAAACGTTCTTGACAGTGGTGGCCTGGTTGGGTCCCACCCTACACGATTCAGACAGCTCCTGCCATCACTGGGCGTAGTTCTACCCACGTGCTCAAATTGATACCCTTCTTTCGTCTCTACACCCCCAAAAAATGTACTTTTTATTTTCTCCCAAAAATCTTAATATACATAATTCACAATAAAATAATAAAAGCCCAGCAATCTTGTCATCTTGTTATCCCCACGTGTTTAAATTCCAAGGTCTTCATATGATCATTCATCCTCTCCCCTCCTCTCTTGTGCTCGCCTTCTCTGCAATGGTCTTGCCCTTCCACGCTCCGCTTCCTGGCCACATGAATCCACGCAAATACTCGTTTTCCATGGCGATTTTATTCTTATTATACGCTTTGGTTTCCAGAGACTCGACAGCCTTGCCCTCCCAGCGCAGGACTTTCAGTTCTTCCGCTTATGACGGCGCCTTCATCGCCGACCGGAGATGTTACGATCCGGAAGACGACGAGGTGACGACTTCCTTGTCTTTGGCGGTTTGCAAGAACCAGACTCGCCGAGGAACGACGGCGGAGGAGGACTGCTCGGTGTGGAGCAAGGATTGTTCAGAGGCGGTGCTGAGCATAGCGCGGCAGCCGGAGATAGGAGAGTGGTTGAGAGGTGTGAGAAGGAGGATCCACGAGAATCCGGAGCTAGCTTTTGAGGAGTACGAGACGAGCCGTTTGATAAGGGAAGAACTGGATCTGATGCAAGTTAGTTATCGATATCCTCTAGCCAAGACCGGAATTCGAGCCTGGATCGGCACCGGAGGACCACCGTTTGTTGCGATCAGAGCTGACATGGATGCGCTTCCTATTCAGGTTCGCACCGCCTGTTACCTGTACTTTGATTAGCTTGTTTTTTCTGCGGCGGTGGTTTTCCTCTTGGAATGTTCAAACGATTTTCCCCAACTGTCTTTTACTCTGTAATTCATAGATTATAAATATATAATTATGTCTTTGATATTTTAATTTTAGAAAAATAATTATATGATCAACTGGACTGTTTATTATGAAGGTGTTTTGTGTAGTTTGACAATAATATTTTGTATAATTTAATTTATCTTTTTTTAATGATGACATAGAATATTCTATTCAGTCTTAATTAGTTTTGAGATGTCTCCTCTTCTTCTGACATAGATATTATTTGTCTTTTACTTTGTCAAATCTGTGTCAGACATCTTATGAAATGATGTACTTGATTGTATACTTTGTATCACCTGAAATAAAGATAAAAGAACATGAATCATTTTGCAATAATGTGTATTATTTTTTTTCTTCAATGAAATGATATCCAAGTGTGAAGCAATATTTGAGTGCATAATACATAATATGTAGCTTAGAATGTATTTTCACAAATGACTATATAAACGTAGTGATATACAGGTAAGAAAGAAGTGTGGTGATTGTTGTATGTGAAGGACATTTGGTTGTGTGTGTGTGTGTGTGTATTATGTGGACGTGTTAAGAAGAAAAATAGTGATGAAATTGATGGAATGGTATAGGAGGGCGTGGAATGGGAGTACAAATCCAAAGTTGCTGGCAAAATGCATGCTTGTGGGCACGATGCCCATGTGGCCATGCTGATTGGTGCTGCCAAGATCTTGAAGAGCCGCGAGCATTTATTAAAGGTTTTGTTCTTTCCATATCATCTCTCCAGCTTTCGATCTGCTGCCCAGACATATGTAGATTCTTCATCCTCCACACACTCTCACCTCTTTCACATTAATCTTGATCAATGCATTCAGCATCTACCTTCTCCCCCACCAAAAAAAAAAAAAATCTCCCACCTTCTTAGATTATCCTTTTATTAATTAGTTCAGTATCATAAATACAGAAGAATGACGGTAAGTTCTTAATATACCAAAATCTTAAGATAATTTACATGTCAGTAAAAAAGAAATAATTCATGTTTATATATAATATAAAAATTATAAAACGACATTCCGTGTCACTTATTTTTAGACTCAGACCGACACTAATTAAGTAAAATTACTCGAATGCATATCGAATCGTCTTGTTAAATAGAGCCAAGTACTTGCGTGTGTGAGATGGCCGGAGGCGAGAGCATTCTATTTTTTTTACCCTCTGTACGACAAGGATCCCATGTGGGCAGGTCTCTATTTCTGCGAGCCGAGCTGTTAGATAGGGTGGGCTAAATTTGTATTGATGACACTGATTCACCGAAAGTACCCAGGAGGGTAGCTTCGTAGGCTCCTTTTGATCGTGGTCCACGTTATGAATTATCTGATATTTCCTGGGTTGCGCCGCTTCTCCAGTGGAGGGTAATTTCTTCTTCTTTTTCTTTTTTAAAAGGGAAAAAAAAAGCACGTTCTTGAGTGTGAATTTTGCAACTCCCACCGTTCCTCCACCAAAAATTTTGACTCAGAAAAGGGCAGAAGTTGCTCGTGGTTTCCTTTTTTGGTAAAAGAAGTTAAGAAACTTTTAAAAATACAGAAAAGCGTCACATGTAACAATGATACTGTTATCCCACGTGTCCCGGAATATGCGGGGTTATGTGGTCATACTAGGCTTAGTTCGGCTCAAAAGCCAAGGTTGCCACCCTCTTTCTTTTCCTGCAAATTTATCAGTCTTGCTCATGGATTTAAATATATTTTGATTTGATTAGCTGTACAATGTTGCTTTTGATTTTGAATTTTCTCCTTTATTTTGTTTTGTCATTAATTTTTACAGAATATATATAACCAGCACTCTTCCTAGTTCTTTTTTATTTGTATATATCCATTGATTTTCTGTTTATTTATTTCTTGATATATGTATATATATTTCAATCTTAGGTGTTCAGTCAATTCATTTATATCAACTACTTTTCAAAGTCTTTCATCTCTGTTTCTCTTTTAGTTTCTTTATTCTAAATTAACGATTATTACTTTCTACCAACAGCATAATGTGTTGTACCATATTCATTTTAAATTAATTTTATTTCTTTTCTAAAATTAATTTTCGGAATCCGAACTTTCCAGCAACTTACGGTACCGCGTTTTACATACATATCAGCATACCATTTCACGTGTTCATTGCTTGAAGTTTCTTTATTTTCAAAATGGATCTTTCAACCATATTACGTGAAAGAATATCGTAGGGCTTCTCCTTTCAGATTTCTTGTTGTGTAGATCATGTGATCATCGATTTGTTCATCCTTTCTTTTTCATTGACGTTGATTTGTGCGAACATGACTATGCTTGGTGGATTGTCTAGCCTGTTTTAGTGAGCTCGACAAACTAGGGGCACATTTTTCGCATATTTACTTCATTAATAATTTAATAATTAATTAATAAATAAAAACTAATACTTATTAATATGTGTGTCTGTGTGTGTATATATATATATATATATCGAGAAAGAGAGAGAGAGAGAGACGCCACTCACTTATATGCGTGCAGTGCATATTCTTCATGATGATGAGGACGATAAAGAGTTTCGATGACTGATATATATTACTAGCCTGTTCATTATTGCAAAGTACAATAAAGTACATTATACTCTTTGCCATTTGTTGGTTTGAAATTATAATTTTCAAGCATGCTGCTAACGATGAGGAAATAAGACAACAAATTTTAGCTAAAAAATCTATATCTAAATTCCATTCTGCGCATATAATATGATATAAAATCTTAAAAAACCGCAGTATTCATAACTAATGAAAAATGTGGCATATCTTAGATTTCATACTCACATTCTAGTTTAGGTATAAAATTCATGTATTTGCTAATACTTAATTTTAACTAGAGAAACATAAAATGCTTGGAGATGTTAATACCATATCGCTGTCTGGTGCCTTGATAAAAATATGTTATGGGCATTATATCTCCACCCCGGATGAATGAATGCCATGGTAGATGCCACAGCCATTCTGCTGGATCGCCCATTAAATATGATTCATTGCTTTTAATATCGTGGGCGGGAATGGCATCTGCCGCTTTGCTGTGCGAGAACTTGTTCTGAAAGCCGTAATGATGCTGGCCTTGTCTTGTATTGGCCACAGCACGTTGTTATATTCAATGCTGCCCATTCAAGTGAAAGGAATCTCAGAGCATGGGACCAGTTTAAAGTTGGGTGAGGAGCATCCACTTTTCTATCCGTTGAATTTGAAACCCACTGCTAGGGAACAAATTCAGTTTTCTTTATAGCAGCAGGTGCCAGTGATGCATCGGAAGGTGGAATCATTACAAAAAGTTATACGATTATTTAATTCTTCACTTTCTCTAATCAGGATCTTGTGATCTTAACTTACCAGGGGGTAAAAAAAAAAAAAATTAAACCATGTTGCATGGAAATCTAGTCACGTCTAAGTGCAGCACCGAAAGGCTGTCTTGTTTTCTTCTGACTCTCATCTTTGTGGTGTCCATCACAGGGGACTGTAATCCTGATATTCCAGCCAGCGGAGGAAGCGGGTAATGGAGCCAAGAGAATGATACAGGACGGTGCCTTAGAGGACGTGGAGGCTATATTCGCTGTTCACGTGTCCCATGAACATCCAACTGCCATAATTGGATCCAGGCCCGGCCCTCTGCTTGCCGGCTGTGGATTTTTCAGGGCCGTGATTAGTGGGAAGAAGGCTCGCGCCGATAACCCCCACCGCTCCGTTGATCCTGTTCTGGCCGGTTCCGCTATTGTCACCAGCTTGCAGGGTATTGTCTCTCGCGAAGCCAATCCATTGGACTCACAGGTCTCACTTCGTGCCATATACCTTGTCTTTCCAAAATTCCTAACCTGATCTCCATCTCTTGATTACTTCAACAATTTCGTCGTTTTCATGAATAATTCAGGTTGTCTCGGTCACTTCATTCAATGGAGGCGACAGTCTGGACATGATACCGGACACGGTGGTCCTAGGTGGAACCTTCAGAGCTTTCTCCAACACTAGCTTTTATCAGCTTCTTGAAAGGATAGAGCAGGTTAGCCTCCCAAATCTGAATCAGTTTCTGCTTTTGATGTTCTAGACAGCAAATCAGTCAATCAAGTGAGAATGCATTGTGTCTGGCAGGTGATTCTGGAACAGGCCAGTGTGTACAGATGCTCGGCGGAAGTGGACTTCTTTGAAAAGGAATATACCATCTATCCTCCCACAGTTAACGATGACCGAATGTACGAACATGTGAAAAAGGTGTCCATGGATTTGCTGGGTCCGTCGAATTTCCGGCAAGTTCCACCGATGATGGGTGCAGAAGATTTCTCGTTTTACTCAGAGGTGGTTCCGGCGGCTTTCTTCTACATCGGAATTAGGAACGAAACGTTGGGATCTACTCACACAGGACACTCCCCATACTTCATGATCGATGAAGACGTTCTTCCCATAGGTGCTGCTACTCATGCCGCCATTGCAGAGAGATACCTCCTCGAACAAGGTTAACGTCCAAAGCATTAACGTGTTTCCCAGCTTGCACATAAATTTACACGCTCTTTCCAGTTAAGGTTGCGAAGCCTTTTTTCCCCTTGTGGAGGGTAGGGCGGCCCGTGGACATGGACTTTGCTTTTCGCCATTTCCCCGTCTATATTTTCTCTTTACTTTTCATCTCAACTATTGAATCCATCCATTTTTGAATGGTTGAGATTAGTGTTTCATAAAATTAATTACTTTATTTATTATATCCCGTGTTCATCAATGTTGAATGGAGGAAAGTCAGGTGCCGCGGACATTGAGCACCCAGAACCAAAACATTAACGTTGGCGGTTGTCTCGATACCTTCCTCATCTAGACAGTTTTGGAGCACGATGTCTCTAGATATAGATTAATAAGGAGGTTCATTTTATTATATCCCTGTTGTGGTGATCGAGTGTTCATGCTTCCCAAATCATTTGAATGCACGAATTTCAATGTTGCATACGCCATTACCACATCGTATCACAGCCTAATAAACCGCTTCTCCAGCCCCGCCAAGTTTTCTTTTTAAAAAAAAAAAAAAAAAACTCATCTCACAAGCCTTTTGGATATGCAGCACAAATCACACAAACACTAGCATGCATGGGGATGCCATTTATGAATGACACGACCTAAGAATTTCTCTCGCGGAGAAACTAGCTTTCCCATAATGCATTATCACGAATGTTGGCTTCTCGAGTAAAGTCAAACTAAATATTCAAAAGGCAATAAACATGACAGCAACTGCTAGCAGCAAAAACGACAATAATTCATGCAAGATACACTTTCACAAAACCTGGTTCCTCTCCCCTGACATGGCAATTGACCACAAAGCTTTGAATCGGGAAGACCATGAGCCCCCGCCTCCATTCAACATTTGTTACCGTTACAAATACAGACTGCATTCTCTCTAAGGAGGAAGGCCTGGTTGGGATCTAGGGATTTGCTTCAAAAGATGCACTTCATTATTGACTAAGTACGCCAAGATTTGAAACACCATCCAATCTAAGTGGTTCAAGCTTTTCAGTCTTGTTGTACACTGGACAATGTCCTGTATATGAAGAGACTTCTACCTCTTCTCTCCGCACAAGCATCTAGCAGCTTGTAGAGCAAAATATGTGAGGATGATGTCAGCGCCAGCCCGTCGGAGGCATAACAGTGATTCCATCATAACTCTTTCTTCATCAATCATTTTAAGTGCACCACCAGCTTTTATCATTGAGTACTCACCAGAAACCTTTGCCATGAAATAAATGAAATTCACACAACTTGTGGGACGCGAAGGAGAAAAACAAACATGCTTTGTTATCTAATTATATCTTATTTTTTTACATAAAGTCGTGAAGAGCTTCTTCATTTTTAAGAGCAAATATGATAAATTGTTAATTATCCACAGCATTGTGTGTGTGTGTGGCAGAAGTTTCACTGCACCAGAAAACCACTGTTCGACAACATTCTTATCTTGGACATGCATACATTCCATTGTAACTGATCTAGCTGTTATTCATCTTCTATTATTTATACACCGGACCCATACTCCACAAGGTCCAAGGAAACAAGGGAGGCAAGAAGAAGAGTAATCAATAGCAGAAAACCTAGAGGCTACGATGTGATAGTTTATAGCTATAAAAAATTGTTTTAGCATATAAAATAAATTACTCCATCCTTTCTCTTCATATTACCTTCTTTCTTCTCATTTCTTTCCTATCAAAAATCCATTGACGCTCAACATGGGGTCTATATCCCCAAATTGGATCAAAGAACTAGACACAATGTCCCAAAAGATAATGGATTGTTGCAGAGAAAGGTTTCCATCTAACCTTTTTAAAAATAATAATAATAATAATAATAATAATAATAATAATAATAATCATGAGATAGAAAACCTAATTCTCAGAGCAATGACAATAGCCATTACATCAACCGAGTAACTTGTGCCCCTGCTTTCTCATTTTTTTCCCACCATAAGAAGATTTCAGTCACCTCTAGGCAGCTTACTACAGCATTAGTCCAAGTTAATTAAACATCCGATCAATCTTTTCATCAGAAAATGTCTTGTTCAGATCTAGAATGAGCCAGAGAAGAACCTGATAAGCTGCAATTGGCAAAGGAGAATTATCCCTCAGCAACCTTATGATGTCCAAATAAGGAAGACCAGGTTTCACCTGCAGATCCATTTTGTTTGCCAAGTTTGAGAGGTTACAAAAAAAAAGTATGTGATATGTTGTATAGATAGATACATCAACCAACCAAGAGGATATCTGCTCCTTCAGATTCATCTTCCCTCATCTCAGTTAAAGCCTCTCTGTAATTTGCGGGATTCATCTGGTAACTTTATGTTGGCCAGCCAAGTTTATGAGCAAAGTCAGCATCGACAATGCACTAAGATATATGATTGAAAGTTTTAGTTAAACAGAACATATGTACGTACGTCTTTTTATCCCCAAACCTGGGGTTAGAGTCGAGGGCCTCCCTAAACGGACCATAAAATGAACTAGCATACCTGTTGCACCAGTATGAAAGAGCTTCAGCATGATGAGTTATCTAGTAGATAAGAAAAGAGAGTCAGGTACAAATCTGCTAAAGCCAACTATTTAAGATACCTTTTTATTGGGCCAGATAAGATGTTATGCATAAACTGCTATAGTAGCAAGGCTGCTAAAAGGCTTACATAGTTTATATGTACATGTCAGAGAAAGAAACCAACTTGTGTACAATGGAATAGCTACACATACAACTAATCAAGGCCAAGCAATTGAAAATTTTGGTCATAGCCCACGCCACAAACAATAGTTTGGCAGGGACCAAAACCAGATCCTTCACAGATAACATTCTCATGCTTTAATTGTTGAACGGATTAATGAAAAATGATCCCCGCCCAATTTCAAAATGTTCATTCAATCCAACAGTTTCTTCTCCTTTGCAAAATTTACATTTATGCCTACATCTTCACTACTGACAATAACTTTAGCAATCTCCCAATGCATGCCACCATAAACATAAAATGAGAGGAAAATAAAGGAAACAATCATGTTTTCTGGCAAAAGAAAAAATCGTGCTATAAAGTTTACTTTGCTGTATAAGACATTATAGAAACATGCTGAAATCCTTCAGCATCAAGAGCTGCCCGCAGTGCTCCAACACGACCATCCATCATATCACTAGGACTGACTACATCAGCTCCAGCTCGGGCCTTTTGTATAAACAATAAAGTAATAATGAATGAAGTTGCCGCCAAGATAATAATAAATGAAGCTAGTAGCTGATATTGAAGACCAAAAATGAAACCATGCAATTTTTTATCCCAGTACTAACATGTGATGAAAATCTTTACCCTTTCTATAACAATGAGACCCCATGTTACCGCCATTAATTTCATAAAATCTAATTCACAAACAATTTAACTTTTAATAACCTAAAATTAGCTACGATCCAGTACTCAATTAAATGGGCAGTGAGTAACTGCTGAAATTCTATGCAAGATGAAGTTTTGGAGGCATTAGTGGAGGTCACCAACATATTATAAAAGTTTAAAAAAAAATATATTACATGCTACAACTTAAAATTAAATTTAATACGTGGAATCAGATTACCTGGGCCACAGCTTGTTTACATAATTGATGAACCGTCTCATCATTCATAATAACTCCTACAAGATGTTGAGGGTATAAATTACAACTGTGCTTTAATGACAGTATATAAAAAAAGCCTCTTCCATCAAGAAGAGTTCAAGCATGCAGAATGGCTAATGGCTTTCTACTCTACTCATCAAAGTTGCTCCACAAATTTCAAAGTTGATCCAGAAAAATCTTAGACAACATTACTATTTCTGCACTTTCTAACAAGAATTGGGACCGCTGTCAAATATAGACAAATTTGATTGCTTACCATCTTCTCTGACTATACCATCATGCCCATCAGAAGAATAAGGATCTAAGGCAACATCCGTATAGATAACCTGAAGAAAGATAATGTAAAAAAGGAAAATGACTTAAAATACTACAGGCACCACAATAGATTGTCCTCAGAGACAGGAAAGTATGTTTACTCACAAGATCAGGGTATTTATCCTTCAGCAAACATATTGCTCGAGGCACTAAACCATTGTCATTGTATGCTTCATCTCCTGTTGGAGACTAAAGGATGAAGGATGTTATTCTAAATGAAGGGCATACACTATAGAAAGGCTATGTTGACAAGCAGCGAGAGTAGAACCTTCAAGGCATCAGGAACTTTGGGGAAGAGCACAATACTATTAACACCAACATCCCTTGCCTTAGCAACCTGGAACACAAAATGTTCACTGAGAACTGCTAAACCTAATTCAAGAAATATCTAGGGTGACATAAATATCAGCCATGAAGATTGGGAATATAGGGGGGGAAATGATTTTCAATGTGCGCCTCATATACTGTAACCAAGTATAATAATCAAATATACAAATTATAAATGGGCATCTTCAGACAATATTGGTCAGTCAATTCTTGAGACATAAAGAAAATTCTGGAGAGAAAAAACTACTCTTTATCAGCAGGAAGAAGCTACAAATATCCTATTTATCAAAAACGTGCCATGAAATAAAGAAGGAAACAATATAGTCCAGGGCAAACGTTCTTGCAAATATTCTTATGCCTAAGAGTGTTAAAAGCCAAACGACCATACAGCACCTCCACAATAAAAACGTTTTTTTTTTAAATCAAATATGGAACTCATTCCCCTTGTCTCTTCCTTTACCACTGCTATTTGAATGATTTTGGCGAAAATTAACATGAGACTGATTCTACTATACTTCGTAAATCCCAACCCATTAAGTTCCTAGGGCGAAGTCTATTAGCATGAAGTGTTAATTAAAGTGATAATGCTTTTAACAACAGATACATAGCTACAACTAAACAGAATCAGTAGCCGATAAAAACCTCTTCCACAAGTCCATGTCTCCACCCAAGCCTATAGCATCCAGGCATAGCCCCTATTGGTGCGTCCTCCTCACCTGAAAGTTCATATGTTCTTAATCCAAATCAAAACAGCACGGGCATAGTATGATGCTCGCAACAAAATAAGGATGTGCGTAATTAGAATACAAATACGTCGAAAGCGTCTAAGTAAAAACCAACCTTCATGAATGAAGAGTGGGTACACGAAATTCGCAGGTGATATATTTGTTTCCTGAAAAGCAGCTCTGAGTGATGCGGACTTACGGTTACGACGCGGACGCCTTTGAATTGGCTGATACAAAACGATTATTTCTGAGCAAGATGTATTAATAACCGAAAATAGTGCAGAAGCAAAAACAATCAAATAAGCCATATTTCGTTAGCGGTAAATACTGTCAAAGCTTGTATCGTTATTAGTACTCATATGACAGTTCAGTTGAACTCTACACTTACGAGCGAAGA